AAACTTCCCTGCAAATGAAAACCTGGATCAAACAGCAACCAGAAGAGCTTCCAGGATTGAGAATATACAAAGACTTAGGGACTCTCAAACTCCTGAACAAGCCGAAAGCCCAAACAAGATTCCTCCGCAGGAGATAGCTTAATTGCATCTCGATAGAGCGACTTTAGATCCAGTATATAATAATTTTCTCTTAATTAAATTACAATAACTACTTTTGGGGTCAATAAAAAAATGACCAAGGCTGGCCTCAAAATTTTTGACTGTATATATATATATATATATATATATATAAGTGATAGAAATTATAAGGAGGATTTGAGATAATTATAATTAAGTAATTCATCACATTCAACAGAATGCAGAAAGCGCTGGACGGCTTTTTCGTCCCTATATTTGGGACTCATAAGCTGCGTGCATCCACTACCGAGAATTGAAACCCGGATAGTTACGTTATCAGGCAAACGTCATACTAACTGTATGGCGGCGAAGACGTAACGAATTAAACTCTATATAGCGCTGCTCGATCACATATTCCGTGGTGGAATTCATCCGAACTTCCCTTACTAATATATATATATATATATATATATATATATATATATATATATATATATATATATATATATATATATATATATATATATATATATATATATATATATATATATATATATATCATATATTAAAACAAAAAATATCATAAAGTACTAAAGAAGAAATGTATTCAATAAAATCGCCATTGGCTTCAAACCCGGCCTCCAGACGATTTCGGAATCTTCTGCGTCTCATCTGGGCGGTCTCCTTGTTTAAGATGGTATTTATCAATCCACCCACGGGGATCGAATGTGGCACAAGGCCTTTTTAATGTGGGTATCTCTGAGCCCGTAGGCCCAGCCAAAAATAAATAACCATCCAAACACGCCGAGGCGGGCCAGTTCCGTCAACCTCCCCCAACGAAACCCTACCCTTCGGCGGAGCTTCGTCCGGGTTCCTCTTTGCAAGCAGAGAGTTCGACAGACACCCAACTCGGCAGCTCACAAAGCGCAGATACTACACTTTGATCCTAGCCATCCTTGTTTAAGATGACGAATGCGGCCATAATCCTTGCCTTCAATTCATTTTTGGTGTTACAAGGAGCTTCATTGCTCTGGTCTCTCACACAACTGCTCCCCCCCACACGTAATAATAATGGGGGTTTCAGTCTGGGGAGTTAGGTGACTAGATGTAAGGAGTGATGTGGTCGCAGAAATTGTCTTACTGGGTCCTCCTGCTTGTGTGGCATAATGTCATGTTGCCAGCTAGCAGCCACCCTCTTGACCCAGAGCAGCATTACCTCCTGAAGGCACTTGATGTAGGCCTCCGTGTTGAGTCTGTAAACCCTGTGGGAATATGAATGCAGACATAACATCGTCATCAGTAGTGATCACTCCAAATATCTTTGTATTCCTACTGATCCTAATATAATGTGCAGTCGACAAAATCTAAAAAAAAAATGCGCGCACACACACACACACACACATATATATATATATACATATATATATATATATATATATATATATATATAGAGAGAGAGAGAGAGAGAGAGAGTCTGAAGTACAGAGAGAGTGACAGAGATAGAGTGAGAGAGTAAGGAGAGAAAAAAAGTCAATTGCTGAAACCTTCTGATGCGTGGACAGAACGAATTCAAAATATTTCGCCTACGAAAAACCAGAGACAAGGTGTTGATTCAATCAGGTAAGTGAAAATTTTGATTTGCATTAATCTGAGATAGCGAGACAGATATATAATGAAAAGAATTAAATAGATAGATAGATAGATAGACACAAACGCATACATACACCAACACACACAAACACACAAAAACACACACACATTCACTGACACACACACAAACACACACACTGAATCTCTCGCTCTCTCTCACACTCACACACAAACACACAGATTATCTCGCTCTCTCTGACACTCACTCACTCACACACACACACACATATATATATATATATATATATATATATATATATATATATATATATATATATATATCCGAGTCTACGTGTGTCTATATACGTGAAAACTTGTATGTATATCAATACGTTCATTGTTATAAACATATCACTTCATCTATGTAAATATGTGTGTACGCATATATATATATATATATATATACACACACACACACACACATATATATATATATATACACATACACACATATATATAAATTCATAAAATCTATATATAAAATTAGGATATTTTAAATCATGCTTCTCGAGCAAGATACTTGAATTTTGGAATCGATTACGATTTATTAGTTATTATTTTTATCTGCTGACGTGACTGTCATCAATCTTGGCTTGGAGAAGATATCAAAAAGTTACTTTAGAACAACATTAAAAAAAAGTGTTTTCCTGCCTCATCTATCAATCTTCAGTCAAGTCAGAAATTAAATCTAGAAGAATCTTTTAAGAAGTTGTTTTCTTCTAGTTAATGTGTACCTTTAGGACGTGGACTATCAATAGCTCTCCACAACTTCCTATCTTTTGTAGCTCTTTTTGCCCAACTTTTCTCTTTTTATGATACCTGCTATTCCATGTACTGCCATTTGTACAAGCTCTTTAGAGAGATTACTCATTGTTTCCCTTTTGCCTGTCATGTTATGCGAGTGTCAAATTCTTCAAGATCTGTCTCCTCATTAGCTGTCTCAGAAATTTCAACTACCTCCTGTACAATTCAAGTGACTTACCTGCCAACATGGCTGCCTTCTTGTGTTTCCTTGTAAAGCAAGCCAGCTGATTTTACCTCATTTTTTAGGAGAGTGCCTCATACAGCAGTTAGGTTGGTCCATTTTGCTAGAATGGACCTGCCCAATACATTTGCATGATTGGTCTTTAGTCACCCATATATTTCTCCATGAAATGACGACTCAAGTAAGTTGGATTTTGGCTACGAGTCGGTCAGTCAGTCGACTGGCTGATCGGTTGAACTCTCTGCCTTCGGGCGGGGAGGAACCCGAAGGAGGCTACACCGAAGTGCGGATTCTCTTTCGGGGAGGTAAACCGACCCTGAACCCGTTTATACTGATTCAATGGGCATATTTTTGGCCGAGCCCACGGGCTCGGAGATCCCACGTTAAAAAGGCCTTGTGCCACATGACGCCCTCGTGGGGGGGGGGTGACTGAATATCGTTGACTTTTGGCTACACTAGCCTACTTGTCTGTCAGACCACTGGCAAACTAACCATTATTCTACACCTCCTTCTGCTTCTAAAGGATGTATCCATTTTTGTTTACATTTTCCTTAAAATTTCCTCGTTGGTTACATGCTCTGTCCATATTTTTCTCAGCATCATTTTGTAGAACAACATCTGTTGCTTGCAAGATAATCCATAAGCCAGGCCTCGAAAACGCGTAAAGCCGG